TGTGAGTACACAGCCATGACATTGGTTTGTAATGACTATGATAACAGAGTATATGTTAATTGGGAAATGTCTTGTCATTCAATGAAATGTTACGATAATTTCGATTTTGGTTATTGGATGATAAGTAATTAAATTTTAATTTTCTCTTAATTATTAATATTGTTTTGAAATATTTCGAACTGACTTGCAAATTTGTAAATAATTATTTGGAAGTGGATGAAATAATAATTGAAAAAATTGGATAATTATGAAATTACTTGATTGACATGGAATTGGAGTGGAATTATTTCATCAATTAATGTACTTGGAATGAATTTAGGATAATTTGAAATTATTGGAATTAATTTTAATTTTGGATAGATGTAGAAATTAGATAATTTTTGGATCGTTGAATTATATTATATAACAGGTAAGATTTGTCTCCCTTATTTCATTTTGTAAAATTATCTTATAGGATGGTTCTGAATAATTTAGTGAAAAGACAACTACTGTCTAAATGGGTTTAAAAAGTGGATGTCAATTGGCACTATCAGTGAATTAGCTATTAATATTTTATCCAAAACTGGAATAATATTTAAGGTAAATCAACTTATTCAAGAGTGATGTCATTTCATTTTGGAAATGAGTAATTTGTTACTTTGGCTTCATAATCCTCATACAAGGTATTGTTATTGAGAGCTTACATATGATTGGAGAGTATTACCAACAGTTCCAAGATCTTATTGAATGAGGAGTATATTTGTAAAGAGAGTTTGACCATTATTAGCAATGGAATATTGTGTAATAATCAAGTTCGAATTCACTTTCGTCCAAGACGAATTTCTTAGTGACTAGTTCATTCACTTGCTATTCAGATTCAACTGGTTCGTTTTTTCAACATTGAAAAATTCCCAGTCGTCATCTCCACCTCCAACATTCTCTTCCTTACTTTCATTTGAACTGTTAGCACTTGATTTACAGAGATTGTATAGATAGGTTCGAAATCAGATTTGTTGGGACCATTCAAATGAGCAGATTTCATTAATTATAGAAGAAAGGTTCATGAATATTTGATTGAAAGGGACAGATAATATCTGCAAAATTATCCAACACTTATACCATTAATCGCTTATTTCGACAACCGTTCATAAATCCTTTCATGCAAATGAAGAAAGAAAACATACACCCTTCCATTTACTTTGCATACTTGTTTCATCCATTGAAGAGGAAACTGTGACTTTGAAGTTGAAGAGCACACTTTAGAGCATTAAAAGTTGCTATGGACGAAAATTATCAAATCGAATTATTCTGTGTAGATTCAACACTCCATTGATACCTCCTTTCCCCTCCAGTCCTTGTCAATGGATTTCAAAGTTTCCCAGCAAGTTTCACCAGATTATTCTTCAGTTTATCTCAACAAAAAACAATTCTCCAATCGAAGAAGGAATCAAGATTGTTAGATAAACCTCTCTTCTCATTGGATAAGAATTTAGTTGAGAGCTACCAAGCAAATGAATCATTTTCTTTTCAATCTGAGTACCTTTTCCAAACTGAGTGAGTTTTTGAATGAAAATGAATGTGAATCTTTGAGCTTGAGTGAATTGGTAACTCACTCATTTGTTCTATCTTAATGAAAAGGCATTCACATAACGGTATTTCCTTCTCTAAATATTAAATCATATCTTTGAAACAGCTTGGCAAGAGTCACCACCAGCAGAAACACTACTCTGTAATTGTTTCCAAATATGAACAATCCTAATTCAAAAATAATAATGCCAGTGGAATTTCCATAGAGACTCTTTGTTGCCTCATTCAATTAGTCAAAAATCAAATATTCCAATTAATTTTCCAAATATAATATTGCATTCTTTAAATCTGATGATTGTAAAGCCTTATCTAGTTAACTTGCCAGTTATTGAGTTCTATTAAGTCCAACACAGAAAGCAATCCACAATTTGATTATTAACATTCATATTATAGTTGATAATATTCTAAAACAATATAACATACCTGAAACAAATCCATCAAACACGGAATCTCCTCTGGCATGCCCAGAAAGAGGTTCTTCACCAAAGAGGACCCACGAGTATAATTCCAGCAATAAACTATCCAAATTTAATCATGAATTAAACAATTGATCATCATCCAAGGTATGAATTTTGATTTTATCCAATTCCAAACATGACACACTCACATTAAATCTTGTTTTCTAATCCAATTTCAGCAATATTAGAGTCTTTTTGTTGTGAATGTTGAGTAAACTCATTCAAATAAATACTTACCAAATTTACAATAAAGTTAATCTCTTCCACTAATTGGAGTGGTAAGAACAGGAAGTGATATCAATAATTCTTCGTGATGAAATATAAACTGTTAATATGTAATAAATCAAATGGACGAACACTAGCCAAACTGAAATTAGTATGAGTTAGTACTTGTTTGGAGTTTGATAGCAAGTTCTATTCAATTGATCGTCAAGTAAATTTTCTCCATAATTAATAATTCAATTCTTAAAGTGAAACAACTCTTGTTGATTACCTTACTGATAATATGAAATTGTATAAGGATAATTGTATACAATTTATCAGTTGTGGTTTCATTCATTTCTAATTGTGATAAGATGAATCTTCTCTCAAATAAATGAGCATAATAATTATTTGATATTTAAAGATAGTGTCAATTACAATTATTAGAAATACCAACAACAAGATTAGATGATATTGAACTGTAAATTATTAAAAAGTCTAAAGTAATAAATCAGATATTATTGTTAGTATTTCTATAGTCTTTAAAACAAGTACAATAATTACATACTTTCCTTATAAAAATTTCCATTAAATTTCGGACATTCATAACTAGTTTCATTATCGCAACTTCATATTTTAAATTTTAATATTATAATTAATATTAATTATATCATGATATATTGCTCCAATTAAAAAACTACAATTATAATAGTAATAATTAATTGATTTTTGATGATGTAAAATTAACATGTTGAAAAGAGTGGTGCATCGTGATGATATTTTTTTTATTGTTACAAGAATGAATCGTCACCAAACATGTCCAGTGTAATATGGAAGGAATTACAGTTGTTACATTGTAAACCAGCACTCTTTTTAATTTCAATAATTGGTTTGTTTTTTGTTTTTCTACTTCTTTCATTCGAAACATCTTTTGGATTAAATTCTTTTGACATTTCATTCACCTCATTTGAATTCTCAACCACTGTGTAGGTTTGACAATTTCTAATTTTTGTGTATTTTTTGATTTCAGATTTGATTTTTTCGGTCTGAATTGAATTTCTCAATTGCTCATACAATTTTTCTCTCAACCATTCATGCACATCCTTTGAAATTGAACATCCTGCAGAAGTAAGGAATGAATAAGCGGCTACTTTATCCATTATAGTGAATTTCGAATCATAAATAAGAAATGAGACTATTTGAGGATTGAATAGTTCTAGCCATATGACAATTTCTATCCAATTCTTTCCTAAGATTATAATCCATCCCTAACATTGGTCCACAATTTGACAGGTCTGAATCATTGTGATTGGTAAAATCAATCATTCTAAATTTTGCAAATGTTTGAATTGGGAAAATTTTGTCAGTAGTGTTGGAGGGAAATGGTTGAAAAGAAGGTAAAATTCCATTATATACTAGACTCTGAAAGCTTGGCTGATTTTGAGACGTATTGTATTGAGAAGAAATTTGAGAAGCCATTGGAGTACCATGTAATCCATCTTCTCCTTCATCATGCTGATCAGCTTCCATAATATCATCACTGCCACCATTGCGTAACTCATCTCTACATTTACTGCAACAATATTTCTTCGTTTTTGATGTTGAAGAATCGACTTCCGGTTTTAAATAAACCTTGAGAACGTATTTTGAACAAACAGAACATTGCTTTGAATGCTTCCTTTGTTTTATTGGCATTTGTTTTCTCTTAACTAGTGGAATTATTGAACTGTCACTGATCTAAATAAAAAACACTTGAAAAAAATGAAAAAAATTATCGACCTACTTTCTGACATACCACTTTGCAACAATTACAAGTCATTTATTTCGGCGTTTGGCTCGGGAAATCAATTATATTAATAATTAAAAACATGTGAATTTTTATAAAATTGAAACCGTGCTGAACCAAACACTGAAATAAGTGAGTAAATCATCACGTCCTATTTGAATTATTTTTA